TGGCTGCATTCCGCCCTTCGGAGAGGGAAAGCTGTCAGATCTAACGGGGGGGGGGCATTACAATGTACTGCAACCCTTGAAGTTCTTTTGGCCAAACCTAGTCTTAATCATAGTTTATCCTTTTTTGTACTTCTTAAGTCATTACGTCTGTTTCGCCTTTTTTGCGTGGTTTCTGCCGTGGGGCCGACACTCCCCACTGTAGGAAGCACCACCAAGCCTTGTTGTAGTGCTTTAAAGGAGATTAAAGGCTCCAAAATAGATTCAAAACCGGTCCCTGCATGGTTTTTTTTTTTTCGTTTTCGTTTTAAATTCTGCCCGGCCGTACGTTTTTCTGGAAAACCTCTCTTTCTCCCCCCTCACCCCGTCTCTTTCTCTCTCTCACACACACCAGATTGCCATTTCCGACCGACACCTATATACTCACAAGAGCGGACTCTTTCCAAACAAAACAATAGATGAAGCTCTCTGCGGGTTTGATTTCATTTCTTTCTTCCTCCCCCTGGAATCTCACTCCGTTAAACAAAACAGACCCTGGTCCCATGCTTTGCTAAGTTGTGTTCTGCCCAATGTCTACGGCTGTCTACGGCTCTGCTGGAATGGTGAAAATGCAGCTATTGACCCCGGAGCCGGAAGGCAATGATCCAGCCTTTTCGTTTTACTGTAGCCCGGCTGACTGAGGAGGATGAGATTTGTAGTACAACGCATCTGGAAGGCGCCGGGCTGGGGAGGGCTCCCGGCGAGAAGTGTTTTGCAAACGGCTAGCCCTCCTCTTTGCCTTGTTCGAAGCCTGAGGATGCGTTTTGCAAGGCTGCGTGGTCTGATGTTGAGATTGTATCAAACTTGATATAATTATGTAGGGATCAGTTCTAATCGTCCTTTCATGGTGTCTGTATATGCGTACATTATTTATATACACTGTAACACTATAGTGTTTTATATACACATATGCTGAAGAGACTGTCAGTTGTCCATTTCGAGATCTGGATCCCCAATTTATGCATGCAAATAGGTGAGAAAGCATTTTCCCCTCCCCCTTTTAAAAGAACTATATTCAGGTTTCAGATCACCTCTCAAATTACCTTTGGAAAAGGAAGGGGAGGAAGAGAGGGCTGAAAAGGCACATTTCAAAATCGAGCAAATGATTTGTTTAAAAATAAGCTTTTTTTTTTCTTTTAAAAATTAAACATGTTCAACATTCTGAGTTTATATTTTCCAAGAGCCTGTATAAACCGTTTCTTATTTATTCAGTGCTTTTGCCCAAAGTTTTACTGAAACCGCCTTGGCAATTAAAGGCTCATAACGAACATAATTTAGTAGGGCCGGTTGCGTTTACCAAACACGGCCTTCGATATTTATAAAAGGGCAGTTAATACAGGCAAGGAATTTATTGCCTTCTGCCTCATAATCTAATATTCCTAAAGAGCGGGACAACTTGTTCTTATTTACAGACTCCCGAGAGAAATTTACAAACAGTGGCATCAGGTAACCAAGCAATTCACCAGTCAGGCGCTGCCTCCCGTCTTCGTGGGCTGCTGGGGTACGATCAGGCAAGGCAGGGGGTTCCTTTGTTTGTTGCGATTAAGCACGATCCGCCTCTGCGCGGAGTTAAGCCGGTGCTTAAATGCCTCCCATTGATGCTTTTCGTTCGGGCTGGATCGCGAATGAGTCTTATGGGCGCGTCGCCTTTTCTCGTATTCCACTCCTCCCCACCTTCTGATAATTATGGCGAAGTTTTCTTTTTAAATAACTGTTTTCTGCCTCTCCCTCCCCTTTCTGTCCTCCCTCCACTTTTTTTTTTTTCTGCAGCAGCCCGTGGGATATTCTCACGCTTTAGGTCACGGCGAAAAAAGGCTTAAGGGCAGGACTGGGTGGCCTCAGCAGGTCTGGGCGCTGGAACTGAATCAATGACCCCCGGAGTTTCCCGACGCGACGAAGAAGAATCTCCAACTGTGGCGGCGGACCGGACGGGGCGGCACGGCGGGCTCTTCTCCGCAGCGCGCCTTCCCCCTCTTCCCTGCCGTGCCAAAGAGCAGCCGCGCAGCTCTTCCCCTCGCCTGCCTTCCCTTTCGAAGCGTCGGAGGGCCCGTGCAATGTGGGAGCCGCGGTGGAGGATACTACACGCCAAGAAAAAGAGGAGGGGAGGCCGAAAAGTAGCCGGCCGCCCCTTGGCTGGACTTGGATCCGAAGCCATTCACACGCACGTGCTTCATGCCCCGGACAGCTGTCTACCTCCTGAGCGAGGCCAAAAGGGAGGCGCCTCCTCGGGAAGCGTCCTCCGCGCCCTGTTTTAAATTTGGCGGAACCAGGGTGTGGCGTCCTCCGCGTAACTTTTGAGGATTGCGAACCGTCTGAATAGCGATTCGAGATGCCCAAAGCGCCAGAGAGGATCTCCCCCCCCCCAAAAAAAACCACGACCCTAAGAGGATGGAAGCGAGGATCGAGGCGGGGTGTTGACTTTCCAACGACCTGCTTGGATTTCTTGGACGCCGCTGGGTCCCGCACCCGGGAAAGGAGAGGACTCTAGTGGGCAACGGAGAAGTCGCCCGCCCCGGGTACTCCGCCCCGGGGAAGCTTTCCTCGGAAGAAGGGAGCCGCGAGGCCCGAGGTAGAAAAGGGGGGAACGCGGGACCGCCCTTCCTCAGTCGGCAACACGGCGCTTCGTCCGTCCCTGGATTTCGCCAGCAGCAGCGCAGAAGGCCCCTGGGATCCAGGCAGCTTCCCCGCTTCGGCACCGCGGTAACCTCCTCCTCTCCCATCATCCCCAACTACCATCGGCCGTGCCGCCCGCGCATGGTGAGGGTTTATCCTTTTCGCTTCGGCCGGCCCAGGTTGGGGGAGACTCTGGCTACCCGCGTCCGTTCCCTGCCTTAGTGCAGCGCCTCTCTGCGACCCTCCCTGCCGAAGTGGCGTGGAAGCGAATCCGGCCGGAGCAGGTTCCTGCCGCGCTCTCGGTTCCGAAGCGGATTCAGCTGAAACTGAGTTTCGATCTGGGCGCCGTGGCGGGGACGACGATGCCTTCCAGAAGTCGCGGCGGCTGGTCGCTCGGGAGGGTTCCGTCCCTTTTCCCGCGCTCCGGCGCTTTCCTGAAGAAGGCGGGAGATACGCTGGGCCCGGTCCGCAACAGTTAAGCACTTTCTAACCGCCCATCGATTTCAGCGGGAGAGAAGCACATTATTATAATCCTCCCGTTGAAATCCATGGGACGTAAACACGCTTCCCTTTGGCTGGACTGTGCTTAGTGCTATTAAAACATGTAAATAAACAATACATTGAGGTCCTCCTCTCTCCCTTCCCGTTTCTCTCCCCTCCTGCCTTCCACTCCCATCCCCGTTGTTTTTATGTTGGATGTATTTAAACTACCTACGTGGGTGAATTTGATATATTGTCTGTACCGGGTTTTCTACCTCAAATCTGTATGACCACTTCCTAAGAGACAGGTTTGCCAAGTCAAGTATTTATGCCGATTTTAAAATATTATTATTAATAATAATAATAAAGAAAAGCTTTATGGAAAAACAACCACACACACACCCTCTCTCCGATTCAGATGAGCCCTTCTCTCCTCTCATGACATGGGAATGGAGTGCAGAGAGGTGAACCTCCTGGTAGGCCTGACCATAGTTTGCTGGGGTGTTTCTCAGAGAATGGGGAAATCCCAAATGTACAAGAAACCTTGGCTAGATTCAAGCGGCAGGAAAGGAAGCCATAAAGATGCCATCCTGCCAAACCCAAACTGATTTCAAGACTTGGGTTTTCAAGATTTGTGCAGGGTGTCCACCCAGCTCCTTCTCTTCTTCCTCAGTGACTGATGCGACCATTTTTATGCTGCTATAAACCATCCAGCAACATGAGGCTTAGGTATTTCAAAGAGTATCAGTTGAAATAAATACAATGTCAATTATATTTATAGAAATATATACAGAACACAGATTTATTTGAAAGAAGCATAATATTGAAAATGCTTCATATTTATTGATCTTGCTAAATGCCAGCTTGGTATCTTAAGCACATGGAACAGTCCTATGGAAAAAAATATTTACAGTTGCTTGATAATTTGCAGACCCAGCAGTATTTTTTAAAAGCATTAGGCAGCACCCCCCTTCCCCCCAGACAGACATCAGACAGAACCTGATTCACAACCTTCTTAAACATTAGCACATAAAGAGGTTTTTGACTTGTTCCCTTGCAGTTTTAACACAACCAACATTTAGCTAAACATGGGCTATGATTCTGTCTAAGATATTTGGCATAGATTGAAGCAGTGTATCTCAATGAAATCAATGATTCAAAGTGATTTCAGTGGGAGAGATGTTTAGGATTTCCAGGGGAATCAATAGGTCAATACAGAGTTTGTCATGTTAGATTACCCTTAAAATAGCAACTGGCAACTAGAGTCCCATTGACTTTCTTGGACTGTTAAGAATGACAGGTGCTACCAGACTCCGGACTTGTTGCCACTATAGACTGACATGGGTCTCCCACAATGAATGCAATCCAGTGTTTTTAGAAAAAGCAAAATGAATTCATGCAACACGAACAGTTTTATGTAGCTCTTTCCATAGCCTCAGTAGTTTTCTTCCCCCACCTCCACCCCATGGCACAAATGATGGAAGTTAGAAGATACATTGTTGATTATAATATAAAACTTTATAGGAAACTATTGCCAGGGCAACTGTTTAGCAACTTAAACTTCTTTTTATTCCTGCAGCATCATGATGCTCTGTTACAGGAATAGTTTCTTAAACGGCTTGTAGTTGCCTCATCCTAAACAATCCTTTCCTAGCTTGGTGGCCAGCAGATGTGTTGGGCTACTATTCCCATCATCTCCAATCAGCATCTGCTTTCCTGGACCCTGCTCAGCCTCTCAGGAAATCCATTGCAGCTCCTTGGTTGCCTGGCAATGTTTCTTCTGGGACCAACACATTAACATTACAGGCACTTAGAAATGCATCATCACATTCACTGCAAACTTTCAGGGGACTAGACCTCATAAAACAGCAGTCACCTCTAACTTTAAATGCAGGCATTTGAGGCCACTCAAATGCCGATTACACATGCATATCTGTTATGTGCTATCTCTATCATCTCTATCATCTGTCTATTTGTCTGTCTATATCTATCCATCTATCAACTGATCGATCGATCTATCCATCTATCTAATCTATCATCTATCTAATACAGTTTTTCCTAGCCAGGAACTCCCCAGATTTAGAGTTAAAGGAAATTATTCCTATTGATTTCCAAAGGAATGTCAAGGGAGTCTAGGTGGCTGCCTTTTCTCTGAATTGCACTGGACTCTGCCTAACTCCACCTACGCAATGCATGCATCCATCCAGGTTAAGGGAAGATAAAATAGCCAGGTCAAGTGAGAAACCTCTTTGGCGTGACTATTGCACTGGGACTGCTGAGAATCTGAGACAGACAGGCTGTCCACGTTATACCTTTGTCACCAGGCCTTATGGAAAGTGAGCTAGCAGTGAGAGCATTGTCCTTGGAGTAAGGATAATGAAGATTTCCACTGGACTTCTAGCACTCAGCAATTTGTTGTTGTTGTTGTGCATTAGCTCAGTACTCTTTCTTTCCTAAATACCAGGTCTATCACTTTCCTGGAAAGCATACAACCACTTTAGAATGCATTACTTGGTCCGATCCAAGTAATCTTTGTAAAATATAACCTTGATGCAAACATTAAGATGGCTAAGTCTGATTATAACAGTCATTTTCTATGTCTCATAGCTTAGAAGGAAAATGGAAAATTAGGAGATGTGTATCAAATGTCTGTGTACCATATAAAAACCACATAGGTCTGGATCTGGGTCACCTCACAATTCAATAGACAGAGACATACAGTAGCTCCACAGACCTTCAGGAGAAGAACAAAAAGAAAATAAGAAAATCCAGCCTAGTAGTTTGGCCAAGAAAAACAGACTCTCTTTGATTGGCTTCCATGATACAGTAAGTAGGTTTCAAGATTTCTTTGCTATTTATCTTCCTCCTCAAATGTTGGTTTTGTAGTAAGAATAGTCTTTTTCAGTCTGAACAGTCTCTAACTATGGTTGTATTGGTTGGGAAATTCTGGGTAGTTTATGTTCACATACCCAATACTCAGGTGGGAGAAGACTGATTTCAAGAACGCTTCTTTCAAGGCAGACATTTCCAATCATCCATTGGAAGAAGACATGAAGCATGTACAGGTGGACAGATATCTGCACATATCATTAAGTGCCTAAATGTGATGATGTTCTTTCTGTGTACTGATTTTTTTTCCAGCTGCATCATTTGGAATCATATCTGGAGACCAGGATATTTGTTTAATCTACTCATTTTCCAGTGGCACGAATAGAGATCGTGCTCAGAAGTAAAAGGATATGAAAGTGGTACAAATGCATAAATAAGCACACATCAACTGTTTTCTGTTAGTGTGTTAATCACATTAATGTGAAGATGCTACTACTGAAGCTTCATGATAGGGATTGGTGGGAAGACATCCTCCCAAAGGTGAATTCTTAAGGGAGTCCATGAGGATATTAAGATACAGGAGATCCGTTGGGATGTTATGCATGGGCTGAACATTCAAGTCACAAGCCCAATTGTTCCTGTGTGTACTTGATTCAGTGCTCCATTATTTTATTCCTTCCCAGCAACCTTAGAGGGAGGGTGACAATGGTTTTAGGCATCTTAGAAGCCAGGCCATTAGGCAAAGAACAACTAACAACTGAAAGAGACAGAAACAAAAGAGCTGCAAAGTTAATGCAGGCAAAAAACCCATTTACTTGCACAGCGAATATCACCACTTGGTGCTGATACTGATAGCTCAAAGTCTTCAGCACATACAGGTCTGTGAAGTACTCTCTTTCTCCCCTTCCTCCAAAGAAGAGGTGATCTATTTTGACTTTTCCAGCTGTTTGTGATAGTGAGTACTGGCATGGCCTAGTGGCTGAGCCATGAATAAAGAAACTCATAGTTCAGACGATGTCAGTAGCTTCACCTTAAGCAAGCCTGTCTCTTTTAGTCTCAGTTCCCCTACTTCCTTCTGTAATATGGGAAATATACAAATTACAGATTACATTGAGACAATACATGCAAGCTACGTCTTGAAGTGCTACAGACGTGTTCTAGGAGAGCACCTTCTACACAAGTTGGTTGAACAACTCCTAGGACTCCCAGCCAATGTGCCTAGCTGGAAAAGTTCTAGTTCTAGTTAATATTCTGCACCCTCTGCCCCAGCCTGAAAGACCTGGGGGAGCAGATTTGGGGTGCATTTCCAGAGAGGAAAAGTGCAAGAGAAAATCCCATTGCATTTGTGGTAAAAGTACATGAACCAGATCATAATGGTTTTCTGATCTTAATGGCCATGCAGCAATGGCATCAGGGCAAAAGAGATAACAGCCAAGTATTTG